AAATTGTTTAAGGGAAAATAGCGTTTGGTGGAGGTAAATACCTTTTCAAATCGCTCGTGCACTTCAGGGCTACTCAGAAAGCTAAAATTATTCCGTGGGCAGAATCTGGCGCTTCTGACCCAGGGAAGCCTCACTAATCGGGGCTCCCCTGAAGCACAGACACGTCCCTGTCGAGGGGGGCCCGGGTGGGATTAGCCCAGTAATGGGCACCACCCCCCCGCTGGCCGGTCCAGCAGCTCCGTCCTTGCGTGGAGTGTGTGAGGAACCCGAGTGTGCCAGGAGGTCAGCCGTATGTGTCACGGTGACACAGACGATGTCAGGGGAAATGCTGAGACAACACCAGAGGTCCTCGTGTGACCCCTGTGAACACCAGGGTCCTATACTTTGTGGCACCACCCACGGCCCCCGTGGCGGAAGGACACTTAAGCCTTTTAGCACCGCCATGATTGTTCCTGGTCAGGGTCTCTGGTGGGCGTTTCTGTGCGTGTCTGTCTGTGTGGCTTTGCTTTGGAGGCTGTGACGCAAAAGCAGGAATGAAGAGAGAGAAACAAACTGCTGTCCTGCGAGGGCCTCTCATCAGGCGAGCCAGTCAGAGGGGCGGGGGGCCGTCCTGGGTGACGCAGTGTCCCTCTTTCCCTGCTGTCCCTTGCGGAGATGGGTCAGTTCCCAAGTCTGAACTCAGCGTACAGGGCCGCCCAGCGGGCACCACCCCCTGACCCTCATGTCTCCTCATTGGCCCCGGTGTCCCTCACCATGTTTCAGCCACATGCGGACTTGTCCGGTCCTTTCCGCGGGACCAGACTGTGGCCTCCATGAGGACAGGGACTCCTGTGCTGTGCCTGTGGGCAAGGGCTCCCTGCGGCAAGACAAGGAAGTCCGGGGAGGGGGCAGGACTGGGCAGCTCTGAGTCACCCTCCCTGCAGGGAAGCCGGCCTGCCAGTTCCCTAGATGCCGAGGCTGCTGCGTCAGGACCGATGACAGTTTCTTACCTTGGAAGCAGTGGCCGGAGGGTTGGCATCATCCTGCAGCAAACCCAGTCTCGTCGTGGGACACGAGTGAGCCTGCCCAGTCTTTGCCCAGGAAGATGGTGGGATTATCTCGACAAATGAGCAGATCCATGCTCCTCTGGAGGAGGGCATTGTCTCTGTCACCCACGTGGCTCACTCAGAGGACAGTCCCGAACAGACCATTAGAAGAAGGGGGTGCCAGCGCCCAGGCCCAAAGACGGGAAACGTGAGGACTGGGGCTCCTTCTCCCAGCTCCGCATCTCCTCTCTCAGCCACGTGGGCACAATAGGAGGTCAGGGTGCAGGAGAGTGGCAGGTGGGGTCGGGGGTGGCGGGAAGCAAAGTGTGGAAGGTGCCCTTGCACCTTCACCGCCACCCAGTGCTCACCCCTGGGGCAGGCAGGCATCCCACTGGCTTCCTCTGGCGTCCCCGTGCCTGTTGACCGTGGCCGTGAGTTGGATCCGTTTGTGAGATCTGTCTCCCCTGCTTCTAGTCGGGCTCTCAAAGTTCCTTCCCTCCGGGAACAGACAGAAAGACAGACACGCCTGCAAGGACAGTGGCTCCTGGCTGTGCCAGGAGTTCCTCCCCATCGTACACACCCCAGCTTCAGAGCTCACGTCTCAGCCAGACCAGGGAGGCTCAGAGACAAACAGATGGGTGTTTGTCCACCTGTTTGCTTGGAGGCAGGTGGGGAGGAGCAGGCGTCTCTCTCCTGGGGCCGCAGGGCAGGGCAAGGCTTCTGTACCCTGCCCTGCACCTGGCTTCACCAGCTGGGGCCACACCACCACCCCACAGCCCTGTAACTCCAGTCCCACCAGCCCCTTTGTATTTACTTGTGATTCTGACGGCTGGGGAGCAAAACTCAGGCCATTTGGTAAACACGCTTCTATCTAATTGGATGTAAGAACTGGGTTTCACAAGTCCGTGTAGTGTGGCCTCAGCCCTTCCTGTCCATGTGGGCAACAACCATCAACAGATGGCCACATGGGTTCCAGACCCCCAGCTGCAGGGGGGAGCTGCTGCCCAGGGCTCAGTGGAACCCCCAAGGGTGGTCAGGGCGGTGTGTAGGCACCACCCTGCTTAGGTGGTCTGGATGGGAAGCCCTCAGCTCTCTGGATGGAGGTGGAGGTGGGGGGGAGTCGTGGCTACTCCTCCCACAAACCAGAGCTCCGGGTCCTCGGCTGAGAGAGGAGACCCTTCCTGTGGAATGAATTGCCATTCCAAGGGCAGCATGGGCCTCGAGCACTTAGCAAATAGAGTGACCTTAGATTCTGCGTCTCCCTGATGTGCTCAGAGGTGTCTTCAAAAGAGAAAACTTCCTGTGCGGTCACATCGAGGGCAGACATAGCTGGATGCATCTGTATTTAAAAACAAGACAAAACTAGAGTCAGGGACAGTACACCTGACCAGTGAGCGGGGGACCTTCACTCAGGCACAATGTGTATCACGTATACAAGATGTGTGTCCATCAGCAGTTTGTGGGGTCGGCAGGGCTCCCCATCAGTAGGAGGCTATATTAGTAGCTCAGTTTTAGGAGGGTCAGAAGTGACCCATGGACTTTTGTCTGCACTGGGGGTTCAGCACCCCCAAGCCCTGCATTAAGGGGCTGCCATACTTTGAGTCTTGAACTTGGGTCTTTCCCAGGCTAGTGGCGTGTGGTGTGGTGCTCTCCCATGGCGCCTGGCGGCCACCGGAAGAGAACTGTGCTCGTCTGTGGCTACCGTGAGCACAGACAGCAGGCCCGGCGGCACCCCGGAGCTCCGCAGGTCGGCCACACTAAATGCGGTGCAGGCTTCCGGCGTGCTTGGTGCCGAGGTGCGGCCCCAGTGGACGTCGGTGAGCGTGTGTGGTCAGTACAAATTCAGGCCGGTGGCTGCCAGACCGTCTCACCTTTCAAGTGGAGCCGAGAGCCACAGAGTTTTTTTAGATGAAATCTCCCAAGTTAATTCTACTTTTGAAAAGAAGTTGTTCTCCTCAAAGCAGAGCAACTCTGTGAGCTCAGCCCAGACTCCCGGCCACACGTCCATGGACCTGCTTTATTCCCCTAACTGACCCTGTCTGCACCTCCGTGTTGCTGAAACACAGACTCGTCATCCCCGTGGGGCGCGCAGTGGGGACTCAGCGTGGCTGTCGTCAGGAGACCCTCACAGGCCGAGGGCCCACAGAAGCAGCTTTCTGAAGGATTGCACAGTTTTGAGCCCTGTGCAGACTCTGTACTGGGCAGCCAGAGTGGGTCGTCCTGACAGGCGTTTCTTCACCCCTGAGACCCCCTCTGCCTACCTGGGGAGCCCTCAGGAGCCAGACCCCAGAGCTGCGCCGTCAGCAGGTCCCGGGATTGGGCCTGCACTTGGAATTCCATGAGTCGAACAGCGAGAAGTGTGACAGCAGCCACCGGGCTGGCCACAGGTGCGTGACGAGCATCATCACAGTGTCACCTGGGGGTGTGGACGTTCCGAACCTCTTCTCCTTCCTCAGCAGCGCACATGTGGCCCTGAGGTGAACTCGTCGGCCTGAGACAAGCTACTGGTCGGAGACCTCCGTGGGGACATCTCCTTGTGCCTTAGCCAAAGTTCGGGTGGACCGGGCTGTCCCCCGCGTGGGGCGTGCTGGTCCCTGGAGTCTGGCCCAGAGCGGCCAGTGGCCGGCACTCTGCCCTTAAACTGTGCCGGGAGGCTGCGGACTGTGGTCCTGGGGAGCTGCTCCCCCGGGAGAAGGCATTCAGGCTGGGGTGTCGCTGCGGCGCCATCAAACCCCAGACAGATGTCATTTCTGGTTTTTGACGTGTTTTGGCCTGTGTGCCTACAGCAGGGATAGGAGGAGGCTTTGTGGGCGGGTCCCAGGCTCTGTCGTGGCTCGCCGGCACGGAGGGGCGCTGCGGGGAGGAAAGGATCGTCTGCCGGACTTGCTCCAAGTGGCAGGTGTCCCCGCGGGCCGTGCGGGCTCGAGGGACCGGGCTGGGCAGTGGGGCACAGGTCTCACTGTTGCTTCCCCCAGTTCTGTCTTCATTTTCCTTTCGTCCACCCTGGAAACGGTAGCAGCACTCTGAAGCCTCCGCCTGCCGGGAATTCGGACAGGGCCTGGGGGCCCCGAGATCGGCTCCAGTTGCCGGGTGTGGCGATCAGCACCCCCACCGGGAAGAGAGGGTGCAGACCCACACACTTCGGTTCAGAAAGGTTTCTATTCAAAACAGTTGAATACGTTATTAGAAACTTCATTGGTTCTAAGCTAAACAGTTGAAGGAGTTTTAAAAAAACAACCTGATACCTTTGAGGATCTGCACGTAGACCTTAGAAATATGGTAGCATTGAGGTGCGATTGGCGGAGCTTTAGACAAGGCACTTGGTTTGGTGTCCACACTCGGTGTGTCCGGGTAGGCGTGCACCTTGGGGCCGAGAGACCGGTTCAAACCACCACGCACACCGTGGCGGCGTCCTCCGTCACCGTGCTCCTGCGGCCGCTGGGGGGGGGGGGGTTCCTCTGCTTCGTCTTTTACCCGGATGAAGCGTCTGCCCTTCTTTCCACATTGTGTCTGGGAACTTCCATTTGTGTCGATTGTCAAATCTGTCTTCACCGTGGAAATAGTCCTCTGACCCCAGAACTGACTCCCAGTCAGCGACCATGTTCACGTCCATTGATGCCAACACTGGGGCTCCCGAGGGCCCTCCTGGCTGGCTTTCCCATCAGGGGGTCTTCTGCCTGTGCCTCGGCTCCCTCCAGAGATGGCAGCTGTGCCCTGTGTCTCTTTGGGGCCGCTCTGGGTGCGGTCATCAGAGGCATTAGGCCCCTTCACCAGGGTGTGCCGAACGCCTGAGGTTCATTCCGCCCTCTCGCTCCCCCCAATATTTATTGGTGCGATGCCCCCCCTTCCACGTAGGCAGCACAACGGCTCTCGCTCATGGTCCACTGTGTGCAGGCGCGTGGGCCCCCAGACTAACTGGAGCCGGCTTCTGGGGTCTGCAGCCCCTGAGTGTTCACCTGACTTGTTTGTTCCTAGGGACTGTCACTAGTGCGTCCGGGTCCCAGATGGCCAGCGGCGTCAGCCTGGGCTCCTTCAACAGCCGACCGGACGGCATGCAGCAGCGGTCCTACTCCGTCTCCAGTGCCGACCAGTGGAGCGAGGCTACGGTCATTGCAAACTCGGCCATCAGCAGTGGTAAGAGAGGACACAGCCCCGCGGCCCACTCACGGCCCTTGGGTGCAGGCCGGGGGCTGGACGCAGCGCCCCGAGCTCTCCGCAGTCCACTCTGCGGGCAGCACGGCCCCCCGCACGCCTCGTCTTCCGTCATGGAGCATTTGTCTGTGACGGGCCGTGTCAGCCACGTCAGCCCGTTTGTTCCTCTCTGGGGCGGGGAGGAGTCGCTGTTCACACCCACTTGACAGAGTGGGAGACTGAGGCTGCAGGCAGACAGGGCCGGAGACTTACTCAGGGTTCTGGGACCCGGCGGCAGCGGGACTGAGAGAGAACAGTGGTTTCTGCCCCTGTGCAGGTGCTCCTGCTGTGTCGTTTGGGGCGTTTCCGTCAAAGGAAAACGCATGATTCATTGTCCTGTGCCATTTTCCAAGATTCCTGCTACATACCAGAGATCTTGGAGGCTCTCCCCACCTTTGCTGTGGGCCAGCTTTTGGGGAGACACATGTGCAGCCTGGAGTCTGTCCTGCCATGTGTGAAGGGGGACCTCAAAAGAGCCCTGTGTGTGGCCTGGCCTGTGGTGGCCTGTTGCGGCCTATCCCCAGTGGTTGAAGGCGCCCCGCCGTTATACGTCGTCTGCCAGACGGGGCTGGAGTAATGTCAGCCTCTGTTCTAATGAACAGGCGGTAAACACCTTGGGCCGAACCCCGCCCTCCACCTTGTTTTACCCGGCCCGGCGCCTTGTTTCCACCCAGCGGCAGCACCGAGCTCTTGCTCACCTATTCGGGATGGGTCACGTTCACACAGCGCTAAAATTCCACTCGGCCCTTTGAAGGCAACCGCAAGGCTGATGTGGCCCCCGGAGAAAACGAGTGTGACACCCTGTCAGAGGCGCAGCGTCAGGCCTTCCCTGCAGACCCAGCAGCTACCGCCACCGTGAACACCATCCGTGTTTCTGGTGGCCCCATGGCCAGCCTCAGAGAAGGACGCCCCCAGACAGAGCAAGGAGGAGACATGGAGTCCAGAAAGGCCACCCCCGGAGGCCAGGCGGAGAGGGCCTGGAGAGGCGGCGGCTCAGCGTGGGCAGGTCCTGTCACCTGTGCCAGCACCCCAGCCCTGGGAGAGGCACTGTGTTCCCCCAGAAGGTGCTTCCGGAGGTAGCGGAGGTCCCCTCCACCCTCTCCAGGGACTCTTCTAGGCCTTCTGCCCTCCCTCGGAAACTGAGGGTCTTAGAGCACTCTGACGAGGGGCTCCAGCGTCACTGTAAAGGCCGGCCTTGTGGTGGGACCTGTGTGGGTCCCCAGCTGTCACCAGTCCCGGGAAACCTGGCAGGGCCTTCCCCTCCCACACTTCGGTGACGCAGTCACTGACCACCACCCCCCACTGTCCCGGAGGCCTCAGCAGGCTGCCCCCTCACCCCTGTGCACCTCTGCGTCCTCCCAGCTGCGGTGGGGGGGCCTTCCCTGCCGTGTGCAGCCTTCGGGTGCACAGCGCACGCCTGCTCCGCGTCCTCCATCCCTGCATCTGTGGTGGGCGTCCGAGTTTCGTGCTGTGGGAGGGGTATGGCACCACCAGACACGTTGGAGATGCGGTGGTTTTCCAGGTAGTGTTAGTGTTACTAGCTGGTGGGGTGTTTTCTGTCGCCACCTCTCTGCGGAGGTGTGTGCCTGTAGTGGCGGGTGGGAGGACCTCGGAGCCTGGGGTGTGCGCCCGCCGCGGCCCCGCCTTCTGAAGCACCGCCAGTGAGTGAGAGGCTCGGAGTCACCAACACAGCTGGTCGGACGGAGTGCTGGCTTCTCCGTCCTGCTCATGTGCTCTGGGGTTGCCAGCGGGGGCGGGGGGGGGTGTCAGAAGACCAAATTCCTGACAGCATCGCCGCCACCTGTCCTTCCCTGCACTCGGAGCATCTCTGTAGGAAAGGTGTTACCGGTAGCAACACGTTCCATTCCAGCTGCCATCTGCACAGTCGGCTGCCCTGTTCTCCCCCGGCAGCTCTTTGCCTCTGGTCACTCCTGTGCGTGGTTGCTGCGCCCGCCACCACATCCTGAAAAGTTGTCATTTCCGGCCCCTGGGGCCGCCAGGGAGGTTGCTCACGGTGCACATGCAGGCACACGCACGTGCGCACACACACACACCCTCTCTGCCAGGACGAGCGCGTGCAGACGCCGTTTTCAAATGACAGAGTGATTCCTCGTGCATTGGTGCCCTCGGGCCACCGCTCTTAACTCACGTAGCCATTTGTTGAAGACTGGTTAAGCCCCCCAATGTGGCAGAGCTGGGCCCCTGAACGCAGGGGTCAAGAAACCCAGGGCTGTGACCTGGGCTCAGCCTGCCCTCGGGTGAAGCCGAGAGAGAGCCGGGATGAAACTGTGCGGGCCGAGCTCACCAGGGATCGCATCCCAAAGGAGCATCGAGCCTGAGCGGTGCTTAAAGAGCCAGATGGACTTCTTAGTGCAAAACCACAGGAGGAAGTTGTCACCGACCTTGTGGCAGTTTGGACCGAGACTCGGAGAGGAGGCTGGGGGAGGGGTGGGAACGAGGAGCTACAGGGAAGTGGAAGGTGCGAGGTGTGAGCCAGAGGGAGCCCAGAATTGCTATATTAGCCAACTCCTTATTTTAACTCAGACAGCTGACATTTTAAATAGCAAAACCCAGAAACGCAACAGAAGTACTGTTCCTCCAGGTTTTCAGGCTTCTTCCTTCCTGCCGGTAATCTCTGAGCATCAATGGATGTCACGCCGAGCCACGGCCAAAAGGGAGCCAGTGGCCATGGGGCCTTCCACTGGACCACACCATCTGGCCCTCAGGGTGCAGACGCTGCCGTAGGCTCCCTCTGCTCGATGGGCAGACACTGGCACCGAGAGATTCAGTAACACTTGTCTGGAGTCACATCCAGCAAGGGCAGGGATGCAGACTCAGGTGGCCTCATTCCAGGCGTCAGCTGTACATCAGAGGTGCTGCCTAGACAGGTGGCTGCAGCGCCCCCTGGGGGCTGGCTGGGAACGCAGACTCTCAGGAACGGTTGGGACCCACTGCATCCAGAACAGGTGGAGCTCGGTGCCGTGCGTGGTCTGGAGCCCTCCAGGGACAGATGCTCCAGCTTGAGCACAACCATGTTAGCTTCTGCTTCTCAAGCTGGCCTTGGACCACGTGGTGTTGGGCAGCCCCTGGGAGTTGTCTGCGATGCAGTGTCCAGGCCCCCCCTCACCCCCCTCCATGATTTGCTGGATCGGAGCGGTGTGTTACCAAGGCCCCCAGCCTATTCAGTTCTCCCCCGGGGGTTGAGAAGCTCTGTCTGCCTGTGGTGGGCGCAGCGTCCTGGCCTCCCGCCTTCTTCGGTCTGGCCAAGCGGCCAGACCCAAGCCGTCTTTAATGAACACCAGGGCACAGGATCTGACGGGCGACTTGAAGAAAGCGCATTTGTGACGGATTTCAAGACCTCCACTCGAGCACCAGCGTCCCCTTCCGCGCGTGGAAAATAGCCCCAGAAGACACAAACAGGATGGAGCGCTTTCTGCGGCGCTTTTCCTTTTTAAGTGGCTGTGGATGCAGACCCCGCCCTTTTTTTTAATCATTTTTATCTCTACCCTGAGTCTCCGGTTTGGATGTTGCCGTCATGAAAAGCTTGCGCAGGGCTAGCAGCAGGGACTCGAGAAGCTAAGCAGCTTTTGAATTCAAATGCCCATGAATCGGTGAATATGCTTTTATTGTAAAACCTAATAATAATAACAACATTGAGATCCCATTTTTCTCCAGCCCGGTGTCCGCACTAAATTAAGACTTTGGCTCCAGAGAACTTTTCAAAGTCTTCCCCACGAGACGCACAGGTGCCCCAGAGGTTTGTGTCTTTTAGCAGCTGTGAGCAACTCCTAATGAGACAGATCACTTTGTAGTGTGCAAAACCACAAAACAGGAGGCTCCGGTTAAATTAGGGGGGGAAGAAAGGAGGAAGCCGTTCCGTGCCCTGGAATTCCCCACTGCTTTATGACCACGACCGCGCTAAGGTTTTACATTTAAGTACCTGTGGTTTAAAATTAAATGTCTAATGTAATTTGGCGTCGCGAACAGGAGGCCGCATCTGCCCTCGGAGAAAACCCAGACAGCTCCGTTCAGGGTTTCAAATTGCCGTCTGCAGCCGGCAGGCAGCACGGGCGGCGCGGTCCCCCCTCCGTGGGGCGCCACATGCGGCCCCGCGTAATTCTTTAAGCGCGGGGACATATTCATCTTGGGCCTCTGCATTGAGAAAGGCCGTTCCTGTAGTACATGAAAAATTAATTTTTTTACATTTTTTCTCACTCCCCTAAGTGTTTGACAGAAGTAATTTTTGCAGCGAGAGAGAATAAAAACTGGTGGCTGTAAATTCCTGTCCGGGAACCTCTTGTGCAGATCCTTTACGGACCCAGAATTGATCTGCACGTCAGAGCCTGTTGTGGCTCCGACTGTTTATCACCGTAATGGCAGCGGGGAGCCCGTGTGCACCCACTCGTAATCCCGGTGAAAGGCGCTGGTGTCTGCAGTCGTGGGGGCGGCGGGGCTTCATTGACAGATGCGGAACAATTATGTCCACATCCGCCATTGGCTCAGGGTTTTCTACAATCTTATTGGGAGCGTGTAATTTTTTTTTTTGATTAATCATTTTCCCCATAGGTAATTCTCTCTGGAAGTGCAAGCCCAGGGTTAGCATCGCCGTGGGGAGCAGGGGGACTCCTGGGGGTCATTTGTAGCGCACTTGGCCGTCATAGCTCACTCCAAGGCCAGCTGCCAGCAGGATGCCTCACACCTGCACCGGGGCCCCGGGCGCAGGAGCCTGGGAGGGCCAGCCTTGGCCCCAGGGCCTTAACGCTGGCTGTCGTGGTCGGGACAGCCAGGCTTCCCCGCCTCCTGACTGGCAGGCTGTTCTGCGGGCCCCACCCCTGCGCCAATTGCTTCCTTCCGACTGTTCATCATCTTCCGCACTGACTGGCCATCACCGTCAATATCACATTGCTTCAAATGACTCTCCAGCGGCCCCGCCTCCACCAGGC